CCCCAAAACCCCAAAACCCCAAAACCCCAAAACCCCAGAAGAGGCAAAAGTAGTTGAACTAATTATAATTAATATTTGAGCTCAACAAGATGGCAAAGGAACTAAAAGAAATGGGCTTCTCTGAGTTTAACCACAACCAGAACAATGGAGGGCTAGATACAGATGAAAAACCAGAGGATTTCAATGACATCAAGATTGATCTTGGACAAAACCAAGCTGAATATGGTGACCAAAAATTACAAATGAATGGTAAAGGAAATCAAAAAGCAGAGGGAAGACATAGCGTACCTTCAAACGATAATATCAACGGTGAAGACAACGATCAGGAAAACTTCAATCAAGCTCGGCTCAACCAAAGAGCTGACAGGTGTTGCAACTGTATTCATATTGATTATTACCAGCAGTACTTTGATGTCACCACCCAGGATGTGTTACAGAGGCTTATATTTTCATTAATCCCCATAAAGCCAAAACTTGAGCAAGCTATAGGGGATAATCCAGAGTTCTATGGGCCCTTCTGGATCTACACAACCTTAATCTTCCTCCTTGCTTTTGCTGAAAACCTTCATAACTTCATAGAAGTTGGATATGATGAATTTGAGTATGATTTCAAAAATTTCCCTCCCTCATTGATCGTCGTTTACGGAGTAGGGTTTGGTGCACCACTCGTTCTTAGCTTACTAATGAAGTGGCTGAGTGATATCGAGATGAAATTCAAAGAAATCACATGTATCTACGGCTACTCATTCACAAGTATCTGACTCTGTGTCCTCATATGCTCATTACCAATTGATATTCTACAGTGGATTGCTGTCATAGCAGCTTTATTTGTCAACATTGGTGTCCTTTTCCTAAATCTTAATGCTGAGTTGAGCAAGAATGCCCCAAAGCTCAAGTGGATCCTTGTAACAGGAATCTGATTGCTTCAGATCGCCCTAGTATTGATCTTCAAAATTAAATTCCTACACATGATTAAGGCTGACTAACTTCTAAGAATTCCTTGTATAATTATTTAAGACATCCATTTTCTCTTTTCATTAGGCTTGAGATTTCAATTTGTACGAAGAACCTGGGGTTTTGGGGTTTTGGGGTTTTGGGGTTTTGGGGTTTTGGGG